CTCCAAGAAGGAGCTTGATATTCCTCTCCTGTTCTAATTACAAGTCCGTTACTTATTTTGGCCAAAATGAGCTCATTTTCTTTTTTCTTTCCTGGTTTTTCTTCCTCGAAATAATTAGTCTTACACGGTGTCACCATGTAACTTCAGACATGGGTTTTTGTGTTCTAATTTGTTCAGTTCTTTTAAACTTTTCTTTTTATTTAGGCAAATATAAAAACATGACAGCACTGGAGCAACAGTTGTGTAAGGTTAGAGTTATTACATATTTACAGGAGAATAAATAATAGAGAAGAATTCTTACCACTTAGGTTTCCCATATGTAAATATAGCATTCATTAATGTTCAAACAGCTTGGCCAGATGCACACTGGTTTACTGGCTGGTGTTATTATGTATGGATACTATAATAATAAAATATTAATATAGCAATAGTAAATATATAACGTTACATAACGTGTACGTACGTACGTACACACACACACACACACACACACACACACACACACACACACACACACACACACACACACACACACACACACACACACACAGAGCTACAATTGCCTTTACATTTGTTTAATATAAGAAAATAAGTAAAGTGTATGTCTGGTCTAGTTAATATAACTGCAGTACTGTTTTGATCTCTGTGTATTGTTTTATACATTTTTGCCTGAAAAATTAACTTTATTTACAAAAGCCTCTGCTTACCTCCCTCCCCTATAACTTTCCCATCCCAGTTTTCCCTCTCACTTCGATCCACAAATAATCCTTATATTTTGCACCGTTTACCTTCTGCTAAAATGTGGAGAATTCACCTCATCCCTCAGGTGGGATGGAATATTTAATCCCTCAATACCTGGGAGATTTGACTACCAACTGTAAGGGAATCATGGCACTGGATCATAGATACTGGGTTTTGGGGAGAACTGTTTTGCAGAGCCATATCAGACTTCGACTCAGTCTTTTCTTACGTTACGTTATATTTATATCTTTTCCCCACCCCTCACCATTTGCTTTTAAATTGAGGGTATGTCTTTACTACCCCATTTTCCTATATTTCAGTCTCCAACACTGCTTTTTTTAATCTCTTTCCCCCTCCCCTCATGATATTCCCCCTTTCATATTTTCTTTTAAGCTCCCTCAGACAATTATTCAGTTGCACCCAAATCCTCTTGAATACTCTTGGTTTTGTGAATTATTCTAGTCGTCTTGTCCTTGTACTTTGCTGTCTTTCTCCTGGGTTTAAGAATTTGCTGTTCAGTACAGTGGCGTTGCCTCTCACTGTTTGTGTGTCTCTTGCATTTTATACCCTTTCAGAGAAGGATAAGAAGTCTCTCTCTCTAACCTTCTTCAGAAACTGCTGCTTTTGTTAAAAGCAACAAATGTAGTGTCGTATCTCTTGGTTTGTTTGAATTGGGGAGAGTGTAGAGCAGCAGTTCTCACCTTTTTAGTCTCAGGGCACCCCTTGGATAATGTAAGCTGTTAGTTTTCACTTTTTTTTTCCCCATGGAAAAATAATGGAGCACTTCTGCTCCAGAAGAACTCTGGAAGAACACAACTACATGTGGATTTCTATTTGAAGTCTGTGTTTATCTTGTGAATCATGTTTGTAAACCTAACAGTGCTACTAGCATTGTGTGGCACTGCATAGCACAGTTGAGAATTGGAAGGCCCCCAGGGTGCTGTGGCTCCTGGTTGAGAATCACAGGTGTAGGGAGCTCGGTGCGCTCCGTCTATAGGGACTGTGGTGTTCAGCTGCAGGAAGGCGTGGGATACCTGCTCTAAATATTCTGCTCAATGGGGGAGTTGTCTTATTCTACTGTTGTTTCTTCTCTTGAAATTTTCTATAGCCTAATTTTTCTTTGCAAGCTCCTTTTCTTCATTTTACTTTGCAGATTTATTGCTGATTTATTTTCAGGTCTGTGACCCTGCCCCCAGTTTCCTTTATCTCTGCTTTGTTTTTTATCAAACTGGGCCTGTCTGTAAAGGATTTTAGGGCTTTGATTTCTGAGATGAACTTGCCAAAGTTCTCTCTGGTCAAAGGGGCTGTTTTGTTAGTCTCCTCTGCTCTGCCTCTTCTGTTTCCCCATGCAGCAGCAGCAACCTTTGATTCTGCAGACCCTGTGGGCTGTTTTGAATGAAGATCTTCCAGCAAGTTTCTTCTGGAGAATCAGCTTCTCAGATTGCTCCCCTTATGTGGCATACACGTCATACAAACAGAGGAATTGGGGTTTTTTAGGAGTCAAGGGGGGGATGGGGGATCGGTACTGTTGTTGGATTTTGCCATCTCTGCCATGGCGGTCTAGCTTCAGGCAGCCATCTGCTCCAGACGTGTAATACGATCCCCACAGGCATCTCGTTTTAATTGAGGACTGCTGTAATTTTGGAGCATTGGGTGCACCAGCTGTATAATTTAAACTTGGTGATAAGGATCATTTTTAAGCAATTGATGCCTCTTCTAAACACGTTTTGGTGATTGTTTGAAACCATTTTTTGGGAAATATTTTTACGCCAATTGTGATAGTGAAATAGTTTAAACGACTGTCCTTGCTTTGATGCTCTGAGGCTTTGGGCAGAGAACTTTTCTGTAATTTAGGGAACAGATGTGTATATGAATTACTTATAAAGGGGTTTTAAAAGAAGTCATAATTGCAGATGGATGTGAGGAACCCTAATTTCCTTCAATAGGCTTGGTGCATGGGTGTGTTTCCAATTTTTTTAAAGTAAAATGAAAAAAACAATCCATGGAAAAGAGCTGTATTTGAACCCTGCATGTCATTGGCTATGTCAAAATTAGGGCTGGGTAGCGCGTTTTGACAATTTTTCCTGTTGAATAGCAGGATTAAAAAGGACTTGGGGAGCGTGAGAGAGGTTGTTGCTTGCTTGTTTTTGAGTGAGAGCTTTTGGTTTCGTGCGAATTATCTGCTGGGGCAGTCAGCTGCTCACTGCCATGACCAGCAGCTACTTGCTTTTTTTTACAGTTTGGGGGTTTCTCTTATATTGACCATCCTGCTCCTGAGAAGCCTTTTCTGTTGACAGTTTAATTGCAACTGCTGATACTTTCCTGTGGGGAAAACAAGTCCACACTTCCAGAAAAACAAAAACAGAAACCTTTCATTTGAAAAATTCCTGTTTAACTTTTAACTTTTAGTTAGACTTCTTGTAACTGAAACACAGGCCTCTGCCACTTCCCAAGTGCAGTACCTTGGGAAATTAAGGGGGGGAGTCTTGGTTTTGTTTTGTTTTGTTTTCCCCCAGTAGATTTTACAGGTGCTGGCTAAACAGCAAGCTAATGTTAAATCTATTTTTTTCTTGGTCCTATTCCAGGTTGTGTGTGGGAGTACATTTTAGTGGTTATAGACTTATCAGCATTTGTTTCCGTCCTGCTCTTTTCTTTCCCTGTTTCCCTCGATTCGTGTCATGCCTCTGCACTCAACTTCATTTCAGTCTTATTCCATACCCGGAGCGCATGGAGAGCATTGGCAGCACAGGAGAGGCGGTTTCTCTCCTCCATTTCCTGTGCTTGAAGCACCAATGGCTTCTGGTAGCCAGAAGGAGCAATTGCAAGAAAAATCCTGCTCTGCCCTCTGCAGGACTGAAATTATGCGTGCTCAGTTTAGACAAAATCTTTGCAGTGTATAGCTGCCAAACTCTAGCCTCTACTGAGCATGTCCAGATAGCAGTTCCTGGTAGATTTTTGGTTCCGGTTCCATAGTTTCGACGCACTAGAACTTCTCAGTAAAACACTGGAATATGTGTTCACGCTTTCAGAAATGACGTTCTTTTCCTTTAATTCACTTTTTCTAAAATGGCATGAAATACTTCATACTAACATTTTAGGGGGATCAATAGGAGACAGGTGCCTGTATTGAAAATTCCGTCATAAACAGCTAAGCTTGACTTAGTTTTATGCTCCAGAAATCAGGTTTCTATAATGGAAAATGTTAGGAAAATTAACTATAGTCATTGCTGTGCACTCTGTTCTGTTACTTGGCAATTATTTTAATTGTCCGCTGACTTGTCCTGTTAGGACGCTAGATGGGCCACTAAACTGCTGTAGCAATTCTTGCTAATTTTTGGCAAAAATGGGACAATCTCACTAGTCTTCAAGGTAGATGATAAGTTATTGCTTGTTAAGGTATCCTAAATAATAAAGTTGATAAACTGACATACTAACCGCATTGAAGGTCAAAAAAAGGTGGTGAAAAGAACCAGTATCACTCTCAGCCCCTCTTTATGGAGGTACTCAAAAAAAATTAAGGTGAATCAGAGGTGTAAAGTTGATGAACAATAAATTTAAAGTGCATTAAACCAGTGTGAAACCACATCTGTACTTTGTCTTGGCTTTCTCAGGGCTCTGTGTGCTCAACACTGTTTACTGCCCCCTAGTTCAGAGAAGATATTGAGCCTTTTTCTTAAGTTATTCTCTTCTAATCTGACCTAGGCCTGAGGTATCAAACTCATCTGGCTATGTGGGCTGGATTGGGCTCAGAGATTCACACTGCATGCTAGAGTCAATATGCGCTCCAGACTGCTTCCCCATGCCTGGAGCTGGTGTGTGAGCCCAATCTAGACTGGCCGCGTATCAGCTTGTGCGTGCTATATGCAGTACATGGGCCCAGTCCAAGACACATAGGCAGCACTGTGTTCCATGGGCTGCATTCAGCCTGTGGGCTGTATCATTGACACCCCTGACCTAGACTAATGGCATATATGCAACACTTACCATTTGTCCTTGAAAAATGCTTTAATAGGTACTATTTCTCTGTACATATTCTTATTATTACAAAGGGGCTGCAGAAGCCTGAGGAGAATATTGGAGGGGGGAGTAGTAGATGTGCAGATTTGTATTAAAAAGCAGAAAAAAACTTGTGAGACAAATTAAAGGATAATATATAGGGTGTGACGCAAACATTTTGCACCTTAATTTTTAGGCTCTATTTTCTTTAAAAATTTAGGATTTAATATCTGTATGTATATGATTTTTTTTTTGTTATAGGAATTGTCTAGAGCAAAAGGAAGAAAAGCAAGTAAGCTTGCATATTACAGACTGGTTTCTGAACATATTTCTAATACAGTGGGGTTACAGAAGATGATAAAGAAATGATAGCAGCTCCAGAAATACCAACTGATTTTACTCTCCTTCAGTAAGTAATTTAAATTACGGTGTTTACATTTTAAAGAGACATGCACATTTTTTGTAATGGTAATTACAGTGTATATAGTTGCTTTTATAATTGTTTAAAAATGGCACATGTTGTGCAATGATAGCAAGGTTATTCTGTCAAAGAATTATGGCAATGTAAAATGTGAAGTGTTTCTTGAATAATGTCTTCAGTATCCGAGGTAGTTTAAAATAGCTCTTTTACAAGTGACTTTTTTTTAACCCTAGAATAGATTTTTAGAATCTTTTATTAGAACCTTTTTTCCTTGGAAAGGCCATATAGCTACGCTCCTGAAATGGTTTCCCTTGGAAAAATGTATCTTTCCGACAATATATCTTATAACTTGCTCTTCGAATTAAAAGCATTTTGGTTAGGAATACTTCTAATGGCAGATTTATTCCGTCTGTTTGGGAAACTGGGGGTTTGTTCTTAATAAGCAGACAGAGTTGCTTGATCCTTGTGCCAAGTGCTGATAATGTCTTAAGATGGGAGACATTCAGTTATAATGTGTACATAATAATTCTGCTAGTCTTCTAGTCGTCTATATTTTGAGAAACAGACAAAATGTTATTTTATTTTATTACTTTATTTTTTTAAGGAAGGCATGAAGAGATGGACATGGGGGAGGCAGGGTGAAAATGTTCTTCTACACTGATCAACCCTTTAAGACTTCTTTGAAATAAAATACATGCATCTGTTTGTTTGTCTAGTTCACCTATAAAAAAAAAAAAAAACAAAACCATTTTTTAAGCCATGACTTCAGGTAAATACACCTGAGTTTTGAAACTGCTTATAAATACTCCTAAATAAATTATTTTTTTCAGATTTGTTGAGAACATTATACAAAGTAGGGAGTGGGAAAACCTGAACATGAGTATAGTTGGTAATGCTTAAGATTTTCTTTAAGTAGAGCCAGATGGTAATCTGTACAGCTGGCTGTGGATTTACGTGCATTTGCCAATAGTGCAGCTAAGGGACCACCAGCCCCCCACACTGAGGAGAGGGGTGCATGCAAAAATAGCTGTTGCTGGCAACCCAAAGGTGAGTCTTCCAGTCTGAGAAGCCCCATGGGCTGGATGACCTGCTTGCTTGTGTTGGATATGACAGGCCATGTAGTTGACACCCCTGATTTTAGGCATGTGTGAAGGGATCAGTAATGTTATCAAGTACTAAGGAAATGTAACAGTTGTGGGGGGAAGGGGGTTTTAGGCTTTATTTAAAGGGAACAGTTGACATATTTGACTTCATTTGGTTTTAAACTGGTATGGATGTGTTTAGGCAGTCTTTTTATTTCAGTTTTAAGCATGACACATTTCAATTTAACAAACGAATTCCTAATTAAAGGTGACCTGAAATAAACTCTGGTTAAACCAGTTAAAATGATGGGGGCCAACTTTTTGGTAGGTATGCCACAGGTTAAGCCCCACAGCTGCCTTGAGGGTCACTCTGTGAGCCCCTTTTTCTGCTGTGTTTGTTCTGCATTCTGGTCCTTTTCCAGTCTGCTGCTCTGCTGCCTGCCTTCTCGCTCATCTGTTGCATGCCACTTGTGGAGTGTGCGCCACAGGTTGGACACCTCTGAGGCCACAGCCTTTTATGTTGGTTTAAATCCCTTCACACTAAACTTTACAGTTTATGATGTTTTTCAGATGCGTAGAATTTGCATTGTGCTAACACATGAAATACTTGACATGCTTTGGAAAGAAAAATAGTTTAGAGTTAATCAGCACAAGCTCTTTTTGGCTGCTTACAGACATTCAAAAAGTCCAAGCCTGAATTGATTCAGTCTTTGCAGGTTAGTCTAACCTGCATACATTGAGCCAGTAAGCAAGTGAATAGACGTTCACTTTTGATTCCGGAAATGCAGCCACATGCCTGCAGTGGCTCACACTAGAAGCTGGAAGGTATTAGACTGAGCTCTCCCTTCCCTTCGGACTGGAGGGAAGCTGAACTGAGGGGGCATGACCAGGCCCTGGTAGGCTGAGTATGACTGGGGAAGAGTTTAAACCCCAACCTTGGCCTGCAGGGAGCCCAGCCTGGCTTCCCCCCTGCCTGTGGCTCAGCATGGCCCAGAACCCCCAGAGCCTCCTTCCCAGTCGAGATGCAATCCCTCTGCACCTTCCCAGCTGCTGGGGCTGAGGTTTCACCTGGGAAGAGTGCCCTGGCCCCAGCCCCCACAGTGGCACACAGGGCAGACTCGCTTCCTCAGCCCCAAGTACTGTTACCTGCATCTTCTGGGCTGCCAGGTGCACACTGCTGACTCTTCCCCTACCCAGCATGAGTGGAGCAGCACAGCGCTGTGTACTAGGCACGGCTCTAGGTGCCCTTATAGCTTGCCTGCCACCACTGTCAGGGGGGCCTGTCCTGGCCGTACTGGTAGGTGCCACCTGTTCCACCAAACCGTGGTGGGCGGTTGGGGCAGGTGGGGGGGGAGCCATGGGTAGTGCCTCCCGATCTGGCGCATACTATGTGGGGATGTCTGTGTCTACAAGGCTTCCCCACCTGCTTCCACCTGCAGCCAACTGAAGATTAGTGATGCGGGTGGCACCTACCAGTACGGCCAGGGCAAGCCCACCTGATGGCAGTGGTAGCAGAGAAGCTGTAGGGGTAGAGCCTTGCACCTGGTACACAGAACAGTGCTGCGTTGCTGCTGTTGGGTAGGGGAAGAGTCAGCAGTGCATGCCCAGCTCATTTG